AGACCTCTGAAGGCACAGGGCAAGAAGTCTCATCTAGTGAAAACTGCCAAGTTTCATTCCTGAAAATAACATGTTTTCTGTGCATTGCTGTTTTTATTGCTATACTTGAAGAAATTGTTACTGAAACCTCACAGGCAGTGCTTTAAAGAGTGTGCATGTTCAGGCACTTTTGATTGATCAGTTGTCATTTCAGCGCTCCAAAAGAAGAATTAGAGCAACTTTTCGTAAGGTCTGATGAGTGCCTAGGTCTTGTATGCTTCGTCCTCAAAAAGTACTAGACTCATCATAATGTGCTCTTTTCTGGATGCCCTGAGGACGATCTGAGGCCGGACAAACGGACTGGTTTAGGACCACTTGAGGTTCATTTGAGGGCTTCCTCAGGTCATACTTTCGTACGGTGTAGGTCATCCTCAGGACAACCTCAGGTTGTCGGAGCGTTGTCTGGGGATAGACGAGTTTGGCGCGGCAAGAGTGGTTCAGGATGGCGCAAGTAAGCGAAATTGGCGCACAATGATGCAGCTGTTCAACCCTTGCATGAATAACGCGAAAAAGTCGTTTCGTAGAACGTCGAACACTTTCCTACAGACACGTGAGACACATACACGGGCCGTGGTATGCATGAATGTGCCACAGGTGTTAGACTGTTTATATCTACCCAGAAATAGCAAGAACATGCATTGGTAATTTAAACGCGAGAGTGTTTAGAGAAATTTACACAGTAGTATTGGCCAAACCAATGAAAAGAATAAATATTACGGTACGAGCAGAAATCCAACCCAAGCATTCTGCAGGATAGTCAGAAGTTCTACCACAGGGCTATGCCAGGTCTCGAAACTGCTTTGAAAAATGCCATATGCAAGCGCAATGTTGGTGAAACATCAATTGAGATAGCGCTGCTGGCTATCTAATTTTATGAACGTTAAATATGTGCTGCTGTGATAAATGCGTCACGTCGGGTTAATGTACATTGTAGTGAAACGTCATCCACTGAAGTTAGCCTACGTAGCACTATTCAAGGAAACAATCCTTGCAAGCTGTAACACTAAGTATCAGCTTACGACTTCTGGTGTTTGTAAAGCCCGCGTTGCTGTTAGTATCATTACACAACTGCAAATAAATAGTAATACAAACATATGAGACTGTTCAATACAGGTTTGCATACAACATTTGTACGCACCTATACATCCATTCCATGCTTGTAAACAACGGTATGCACCATACATATATGTTGGTTTGTTGTAGCGACCTTGCAGTGTGTGGCTCCGCCCAGCCAAAGACGCGCAACCACTCTCAATGATCATGTGACAACTGGCGCAGCAGGTGCAAAAGCTGCCTCCGAGCACAGAGCGTCTAGATGCTTTCCTACATGTCTACAAGCGGCAGCCTCAACAGTGGAAGTTGCAGTGAACATATAGTAAGCCCTTTTGTCACGTAGCTCTAGCTTGGAGAACCTTATAAAAAAATAGGGTATCTTAACTGTGATAATGACTATTGCGAAATGTCGTCGCAGTTGTGGCAGTATACTTCACACGTACGTGCACATACTTTTAGATTTGTTAACTTTGTGAAATCGCATCACCGTTGCGGCGCCACACTTGCACATTTTAGTTCTAACACTAATGCAAGAACAACAGGCCCAGTTCAGCAAGAAGGTCTAAGATATGATATGCAAATGCACAGTGTACAAATAGATAGCCACAAACCGTTAAGATAAATCCTCACATATAACAAATGTGCCGATGAAGTTATTCCTCCAAATGAACAGGGCGATCTCGGCGACACTCGTCCTCAATACACTTGCGACAATGCTTAAACTATATGCCGGGGGCAATACAGTTATGTACCTGTCAGCTCCGCGGCTACATTCATGCGCTTAAGCCGGGGCACGGGCGGGCTAAACTGCACCTGCGCCACATTTTTCTCACGGCCCTCTCAACCGCCGCGAAAGCAATGGGAGTGTCTCCAGTATCTTTTGCCACCCGCCGGCAGTAGGGGCGCTGCGGCCCTGACCTTGCTGACTTAAGGACGTTGCATCTCCTACGCAGTGCACATGACATAAGAGCGTTGCTCGATATCAAACCACCATATGGGGTTTAACGAGGCATATTGCAGGAGACATAAAGCACTGGCAATGATAAGAGAGAGAGATAAACAGAGCTGCACCTGTTCTGCAAGCATAGAGCAACAAATACCTTGGTCCTTGGTCTCATTGGACGAGGCTGCTATTAAGAGAGGTCGCTTACAAAAATTACGAGCACGCTTTCCACTTGCAAGCTATTTGCTATATACTTTTTCAAATACATTAGGAAAGGTTTCAGGGCTAAAAGCTCCAATCTGCAGCTCGACAGCTCTTTGAAACACGTACGTGAGTTGTATTTCTGATGGTTAAAAATAAGTGCGTATAGGCAGAAAGAAAGTAAAAAAGAAAAGAACTTTCGCTGCTGAATAGCCCCTTCACACGGCACGCTATGAGAGTGGTGGTGTGCGTTGTCAAGGTGTTAACGCCACCTGAAAACATTAATTCCTGGGAACCTAAGCTCTTTTGCATTTCTTTGTACTGCAGGCCACATCCATGAAGAATGCGAAGAACGCAGCTGCTTATGCTCGTGAGCCGCTTGCCCGGAACAAAAATTCTCTAGTGTAAATCAATTCTGTGCTACCCTTCGAGTTCGTGGAAGAACATGTTTAGAAAGAGAAATTGACAAAATTCTACCTTTTTGGCAAGTAAGCAGCTTTTTATTACAAGAGATCTGTATGAATTCTCTTGTGGCTTAGTTGGACAAGCAGGTTGTTGTCAATATCCCTTTCTTTCAAGTGTGGCTAGTTTTATCCAGGGATTTGCCCATGCCGTTGAATTTTGTTCGACGCTTTCTCAGTGTACCTTCTGCAGTAATTTCTTGACTCGAGAACACGATTGCACAACCTTCGGTATGCTCAGTATATACATAGATATTCATTAGCCGCGTAATAGTGTATACATTGCTATGTTCTGTATTGCAAGTCCCAATTGAGGAAAACACTCGGTGTTTCTTTTCACCAATTCCCAAGGAATGCTGAGGTGTGCACTAAATGGAAAAAAAGATATTGCGAGAAACAACCTCACCATCAATGACAAATCTGCATCAACTCTCGTATGCAACAGACACTTCTGCAATGAAAACTATGTGCTTGCGTGCCACATCAGAAAACTTCTTCCTGACTCTGCGCCTACTCTCTTCGAGGAATATAATGCCTTGTTTTTCACTTGCTTTTCAACGCATGGTGAGTAAATAAGTGCATCCGAACTCATGTGCCAGCGTTGCATGTGCTGCACGGAGCGGCGGAGGAGGGTTAGGGTTGCAGCGCCCGCCTCAAAGCAGTAACAAGATCAGCATTGCACGTGATGCGAAGGCTGTAAAAAGCAAGCGCGCAAGTGCAGTGTAGCCCAGCCGTGGCTTGTCTGTCCCCAAAGAATTTTAAGCATTGCATGTGTACTGTACACATGTGCACATACAAAAACATACACAAGTATACCTAAAGGTGATGAAATTCCCCCCTCCCACCCACGAAAAATATTTCTCACTACAGTTCTGTTTGGTGTGACAGGCTTCTAGAGACCGTTTTGAGGACAATGTACTTCTTTTTTACTTATTAAGCACCAGGTAATGTACGCCCAAGTAGACGCCATCAAAATCGTTGAAGACGTGCACAGCAATAGGATTACAAACTTCAAAGTGATGTAACCAATTTTTCAGTTTCTCTTCGCATATTTTTGTCCCTTACAAAGTATCTTACCAAAGCAGGAGTGGTGCTACTACCATTATTGAAAAAGGTTTTTACTAAAATAAAAAGAGTAGCTGTTTACAAAAATATTCCTAACAAACAATGAGCCCTATCAAACTGCTTTAGACTGTTGTGAAAGCACTTAACAAATATATTGCAAGTCCAGTTGGTGATGCCCAATTTTATTCATACAAAAGATGCAACTTTTATTTTAAAAAAATTACTTGTGCTTTCTTTCTTCATGGACAATACAGTCAGTCACAGCGGAGTAACTCGATTCATAGTTTCGACCACCTAGGGTACTTTCTGGAATGAAACTTCAGTAGATGTGTGCTTCTGCATTTCATCCCTAATAAAATACTGTCACCATGATCAGAAATCAAATTGGTGTCCTCGAGCTAGTTATGTAGAACATTTCAAAAAGTGGCTTTGGACAACATCCGTAGTTTATTTTTTTAACTATCGATAGTGTAAAAAACTGTCGAGAGTACTAGTATAGACACTATTATCGGTAATGTAACCAATAATTATGTCAGTAGTATTACAACCAAGATTACCATCAACAGCATGAATAGCACTGTGAATAGCTGTGATGTTAGTGGCTGGGGATATTGCCAAAAACATTTTCGGTAGCCTACTATCAGCAATATTATTATTATTATTACTTAAGTTATGAGCAATTTTTTGGTAAAATATAAAGTATTCAATCAGTGAAAATGTGGGAATATGTCCATCAATAAATTGATGTTCAAAAGTAAGTACTTACACTTTGCAATTAAGTAGAAACCTATTTCTAGACATTCTGATTTTGAAGTTACACAATGCGATATAAAAATGAAGCTGCACAGAACCATCAATTGTAGCTGTATTATTTGCTGCAAACCTGAATAAATCAACTTGTTATGCACCTGCTGAAAATCCTAGTGAAAAAGAGCAAGCAGGTCAACATTCTTGCCCTCCAACCTGCTTTTCCCGATTCACACACTCAGGGAATCAAGTTTATGCTGCAATGAGTTCGTGCGGTTAATTTCACACTAATTGTAGTACTATAAAACTTACTTTATTAGCCCTACCGATAGTTTCTTTTACCACTGATAATGCGATAGTACAGAAATATTGATAGTATCGATGGTTCTGTATCACTACCTCAAGCTCAACCACATAACACCTTCAGCCAACGTTGCAGAATAGCCACAATTCTCTATCCCTGCGTTCACAAAGAAGGGCACGCAAACACATGCTGCAGAAATGCTGCTATTAGGTTTTGTTTATTCCCACAAATTAAGAACCACAAATGGGGCATGCAGATTTGCATGCTGTCATGCTGTGTTCGATGGCACCAGAACACACGCACGAAAAACTGAAAAAGCCAATATTTTCTCAAGTGCCTTCACTTTTCTACATCATGTGAATAAAAACTCTTCAACAGCACAGTCAAAATAAATACTGTAACAGACTGGTGGCACAGCCACAGTAAAAACAAACACTACATTCAACGACTTAAATACTTTCATGTTTTGCACAATACTTGCCACCTTGAGAACCTCTATTGTTTATTCACTTTGTGGCATATTCACTCACAGTCTAGTCATAAATCACAGATAACATAAAATGTGCAAAATGAGTAAAACAGAAGTGCTCGTTTTCTTTGTTAGGCACCTTATCAATGAGAGCCCTACTGCTTACTTTTGTTATTATTAATATAAACTAACACTTTGAGCACTACATTTTACCCATTATGTAAGAGTTCTGACACCAGAAAAAGGATGAAGTTATCAAAAATATGCTGGCATGTGGATAACAGAGACAAGTGTAGAGAAAAAACATGAAGTCATGAGGCTGCTTCCCTGAACCTAAGTTCGCTCATTATTATTAATTGAACTAGCCCATGCTTTTTACAGTGCACACTATTCATAAAAAGCATTCAGACAACAGTAAAACAGCAACAGATAAGAGCAGGACAGGTGGATGTGGTTGACCCTTTCTGCTCCAAAAAACTGTTCAACAGTTTTCTTGTCCGCCACCTTACTCATGCACATGCAGAATCAGAGCACAATACCATGCAATCAAGGCAATAAAATAAGTGCGCTTTGGGATAGGTCTTGCAATTCAATGCAAACTTTTGTCCCAATATTTCAATACATTAGACGTAAAATAGACAAGGCTTCTCCAAAGCTCTTTCTGGGAGGTAAAAAATTAATGAACTCCTAGGATTCTCCTAGAAAACATAACAGCCTTCCATTGTTGGAGCTTATGCAGTCGACTGCAACAACTACTACTTTTGAGTCAGACATACGAATGAAGTCAGTTTCAAGACGTCCCTACTCCTCACATTTCACAGCAACTAGCCACATCATAGAGGCACTGACAATGTGAGAACAACCTTGATGAGATTATCGAGAAGAATTATTATCGAGAAAAATTAAACATCCCATTTCTTGGTGTCTCATAATAACAAGTGCTTCGTGGTATCGTACTTGGTCTCTAGCGTTCAGTGGGGAACCTTGACAAATGCAGCAGTAACAGAACTCGCACATCCATCGTTCATGCCGTATTGGCCGACCTGAACAGCCTCCCAACAAGCGGTTTAGTCCTAAACCACAGGTAAGTTTGGTACACCGTGATGGCCGACTGTGCGAAGCAGGCCCGCACCACCACCACCATTCTAGACCACCAGTTGGCACAATGCTTCAGCTGGTCCTCGTACACTGCCCGCACACAGCACCGAGACATGGTGATGAACGACCGGGCCGCACCTCGTGTGCCTGCATAGAATCAAAGGCAGCATGCTTGAAAATTTAGCTTGAACATATGACTGTTAGGCACTAGGTGTAACAAACATGGACATGGCAACTCTAATGTCACCTGAATTTTATAAGCTATAATTTTTGTAAATAGTTTGTATGGAACGGACAGCGAGCTGTTCGGATTGTAATTGTTCAAGTCCTTAACGTCTCCTTTCTTATGGATTAAGATGATGTTGATGTTCTTCCAAGATTCTGGTACCCTTCCCGTCAAGAGACACTTCAGTGGCCAGTTTTTCAAATACAATTTCTCCGCCATCTTTCAGGAGGTCCGTCGTTACCTTATCCTCACGAGCATCTTTGCCTTTTTGCATTACTTCTAGGGTTGTCCTTACTTCCCCTGTCATTAGTGGTTATATGTCAACACCAGAAGGCACTATTACAGTTGAGCCCTGCTACAACGAAACTGATAAGGTGTGGAAAAAATTTCGTTGAAGCCAAAATTTCCTTGTAGTGAAATAAAAAATTATATGTGATTTGAGCTAGCAAAACAAAGAATGTTTATTCTCAAAAGTAAAAAAATGTCTGCTGCTTCCTATTCTTTCTCAGCATAGCGAGGCCATGGTGAAAAGAACGCTGAAACAATGCCTAAAACTGCCTTCATGAATGAACCAAACAGCTGCATTAACACGTTAACCCCAGCAGCTGTCCACCATCAGAAGTATCCGACAACGCCGAGATGGAGGCAGGGTATCGTAGAGTGGCGACTTTTGCATTATTTTATGCCATTCATATCATCCATCACTTGCGGCCAGCTTATTTTGTTGATGGTGCGGATGAACAGCCGCTCTGATTAGTTACCACACTGGCCAAAGGCGAACATATTAAGCATCAAAATCGAAAAAGGCATCGTTCCGCGGTTGTACCCAGCAGCTGCGTGACAGAAACCATAAACTGAGCAACTGAGCTTCCGCTTCGGAATGTCTGCAGCACAGAAGCAAGCCAGAGGCAAAAGCAGGGCCGTCTCATTGCCATTGCTATCAAGCACTGGCGGCGCCCATGCTTGCTGAACAGCGGCAGTATAGCAGCAGTTTCTGGTGGTGCCAACGCGTGTTTTAGACTTCGTTGACGCATTTTCAGGGTATGAAAATGCATCAAAACGTTAATGGTAGGGTTTACTGCATATAAATAAGTATCTGAGCCTGGAGTTGCATCGTAAAACTTCGTTGAAGCAGGACGATCGATTAAAAAGTGTTCGTTGTGGCAACAATATTTATGCATTGACTCCTATGGATTGCTGATGGGGAATCGCAAATTTTTGGTTGTAGCGGAGTTCAACTGTATATGTTTAGATGTCAAGTTTCAAGTGACTCAAAATAAAAGGGGCACTGACTGCAAATGAATGTCGTTGGTTGAGGCATTGCTGATACAAGTGTTAAGCAGCTGAGCCATATATTTTGGGAGCTGCCTGAAGTTTCTTGCTGCACTGGTATCAACTCAATAAAATTAAGCAGATGTTCTGTGATAAAGCTGGCACTTGTGACAGTTTCATGATCACGTCTGCCGAAATTTGCTACGCTACGCGCTGCAGAAATGGGTCAAATTTCAAGACGAACACTGCTCCCCCTCCCTTCTGCCGGCACGCGCCCAGAGAATGAGGGCATGACGTGCGCGTATTAATGGCCCTACATACACGGCAATGCAGTGACGTTGGTCCTCTATGTAGACGACTCTGCTCTGACGTTGAAAACATTGACAGTCTCATCCTCGCTTCGAAGCTTCAAAAGACCCGTTTTCTCCGCTCGTGATGAACCGATTCAAAACATTTTTTTGGCAAAATGTTCCTCATCGAACATCCAACTTCCACTGTCTAACTAAAATTTGGTATGGGGCCTGGTGAGTGTCCATTTGAAGCGCAATGATACTTGCAAAGACGGCACGCGCACCGTTGATCACGACCGCCCTAAAAATCACAGTTCATTTTTGCCACTCGAGTGATCCCTGTGTTTTTTCATGCTCGGTTAGCAAGGGTGGTTTCCTTTTTGCTTGAGCATTCGACGGCAGTTCTAACACATGGGAGATTTTATCCGATAATTTCAGGCGACAGAGAGGGGCCGACTCATTTGATCTCTAACTGCTTCAGCAGCGCTAATGAAAGTCACAATGCGCGAGGGCATGTTATCAATTTATAGTTGCTTCGAGACATGGCAGGGACGTCAAAAACTCACTGAGAGTGTCGATATAGTTGCTATCCCAATAACGATTCAGTTTTTTACCACTAAATAGGTCTTCTGGGTTAGCTCTGCCTTCAGTACCCCTTTTGTTTAATTTATGCGTTTATTTCTTGAATTTTCGTACCGACCCTGCATATAACAAAATCCTCTTTATAACAAATTTTTTCGGGATTTTTGTCAATTTCCTTATATCCAGGTTGAATTGTATACCTCTGTCTTTTGTCATTATCATGGCGCAATTACAATTGTCAGAACATTTAATTAAAACTTCTTAACTCGCTGTCTACCCTCTGCAGCTTTAGGGAGCCTAATGCAAGGTTAATTATTGCTTTGCTGGCTTAGTAGGACCATCGATTAAGAGGGGAACAGAGTTACGTAGCACACTACCATAAACACTAGGCTTGTGCAAACAATCAATTGCTTCGAATATTCGAAAAAGGTACAGCATTTCAATTCACTTTGATTTGAATTTAAATTATTGGAAATTTTAAAGTATTCGGAAGGACTTAATAGACATATGTGAGTCTGCTCGTGATTTCCTCTAAAGATGGTTTCACTGCAGTATAGGGGTGCTATACCATGAAATCACCTTTCCAAATAAATTCGCAAGGCCGCGAAGCCCCTCTTTAAAGGCCAACTTCGGCGATATTTCGAACATGTCAGCGTAATGGTGCTTCTAACATTCCTGAGGCACTTTTGTCACAAGCCGGATGGCTGAAATGCTCAGTAAATTCGAAAATAATTTTCAATAAGCAAAAAGGTACAAAACCGAAAGCTAAACTCGACATGAATGCACTGTCCACGTATGAAGTACTATTTCGTAAAAACCGGTTGCCGTATACATGTACCGCCGGCGCGGAATATGAAAACTGAAAAAGCCAGGACGACAGGTGCTGGGAGCAGAGGCGAGTGTGCAAAGCCGAGTCGGCGAAACACCGCAGAGGAAGGAAGAAAGCTTTGCAGTCGCCACAGACTACGCCACACGCTTTGCCATCACTAAAGCACTGCCGACAAGCTGTTCCACTGACGTCGCTGACTTTCTCTTGTATGAAGTCATTCTTCATCACGGCGCTCCGCGGCAGCTGCTTACTGATCGAGGAAGGTACTTTCTTTCACGTGTTGTGGATGACATTCTCCGCGCCTGCTCCACTGAGCACAAGCTTACCACCGCTTATCATCCACAGACAAATGGATTGACTGAGCGTCTGAACCGAACGCTGACGCAGATGCTGTCAATGTACGTTTCGCCAGATCACCGTGACTGGGACAAAGCACTCCCCTTTGTCACGTTCGCGTACAATTCTTCACGGCACGACACAGCTAGTTATTCGCCGTTTTATTTGCTATTTGGCCGACATCCAGCATTACCATTTGACACGCTCCTTCCTTCGGCTGCCCCCTTGTCTACTGAGTACGCCAGCGATGTCGTTTCTCGAGCCCATGCAGCCCGTCAGCTTGCCCGTGATCGGCTGAACTTGTCGCAAGCGCAGCAAAAAGACCGCTATGACAGTCGCCACCAAAGCGTGCACTTCTCGCCGGGGTCTCTGGTACTTCTCTGGACACCAAACCGCCAAGTCGGCTTATCAGAGAAGCTACTATCACACTACCATGGCCCCTACAAAGTGTTACGACAACTTAGTGACGTGAGCTACGATATCGCCCCCCTAAACAATGCCTTTTCGACCACCTCACTCCAGACAGACGTACACGTTTCCAGACTGAAACCGTATCACCCTCCTCGTTCGTCGCCGCCGTACTAAGCGCCGTGACGGCGCTTCCGCCGCAGGGGAGTGATGTTACGGTGCATCATCGACAGGAGCAAGCGTGGCACTTAGCGAAGATGAAGAAGACGCCTGTGCGTTAGGCGCTTGCACGAGAGGCAACTCAGACATCTTGTTCTGCTGCCGATTCTCGGTGAACGCTGTCCTGTAAGCCAAGACCTTGCCCCGTCACAATATATATATATATATATATATATATATATATATATTGAGTTGGTAATTAGGAATCGTTCCACATTTCCGCGATCCCAGAACGGGATAAAAATGGAATAGAGACGATGCTTATAAAAATGGGTTGGGAATGAATCTGCGTGTTTTTTCGAGAATGAAGTACGTTTTTTTTCTGCGTGCTCTTTTGCATAGTGGAAACATGAGAAAGTCAGATAATCGAACTTCACCATCAAGCAGTTTTTTTAAATGACTCATCTGATAACAAGCATGGTACATTTATAAGCAACGTGCCTACTGCAATTCTGTCATTATATGCAACGTTGATCTGAAGTTTGTCTTATTCTTAGCGTAACCGTGGTTCTGTGCTGTTGGTACCCGCCAAGTGAAACTATGGTGGTGGCATAGCACACGGAGGAATTGAATACTGAAGAGAGGCCCTATTGTATCTGAATGCACTGCGAGTAGTTTGGTGGAAGTGACGTCAAATTCATGTGCCAAACAAATTGGTATCAGGCAAAGAAAATGGCAGACGCTCCGCGGCGTGCTCTTAGCGCTGGTTCGCTCATGCGCGGTGTTTTTTGTCCGGGCGTGAACTTGGCGCGTATTGTGTAAGTTGCATGCTATAAAAAGTTGAGGGCACACGCTTCCGAGACTATTCGTGCATGGCAGGCTCGAGAGCACATTTCCAGTGCCCTTCGCTAGTCTTACGTACGTGTTTTTGGCGCTTACAAAAGTTATGGTTCCCGAAATTATACGTGGTTGGTTTTTGTAGAACAGCAGAGGAAGCACCAGCATGTGCCGTAATAAAAAACATTCAGCCCCTGCATCATCGTAT